AAAAAATGGGGGGGAGGGACCGACACATAAAAGGGGAAAAAGCCATATACTCACACAACACAAATCACAAATTCACCATCTCGCTCATCTTCATTCTTTACGCCACGAACCTAACGCCGACAGCAACATTTGCTCCCATCATTTTCTCTCCAATCGTCGACGGCGATCTTCATTTAACCTCGTCGGTCGTTGTTTTTCCACACTGCAGTGTTGGGTAAGTGTATTTCCTTATTTTGTATACCTGTTTCTTTCTCCCGTCATCATTTTTTCTCTGCTTCTCATATGTGGCTTGACTCTTGAGACTTGAGAGCTCGTCTAGCCTTGGCCCTTGTCCCCAAAACTGCTGGAATCGTTGAAACTTGAACTACCTCAGGCCCTGTTATAGAATGTCAAATGTTCATCAGTTTTTTGTACTTACCTCTATTCTCACTATATGGGTAACTGCCTTACTGGTAAGTAAGCCTTCAGTTATATATTTTCTGTAAGTTGTAATTTTATTTGAAGGATGTGTACACGTTGGTTCTATTGATGTACATAACTTGCAATCTTGCAGAAACGATGACTTTGATTAAATTTTGATTGAAAGAAGTCTCACATAGGACCTGCAATTTCTGTTTAACATATTGTAGAGGGAATTTCTTCAAGAGAGTAGCTTTTAAAGAACGTGAAAGTATATTTTTTACTTAATGCAGTTTAAATTAACACTATATCATTGATTATGAGAAACTATGTGATCTGTTCAGTAGGACACTTTCATTTTTTGATCTTACACTCTTACGCTGTGATCAGTTGTCTCACTAATTTTTTCTTTTTGTGTTGGTATTAATGCAGTCGAAGACAAGCAACATATATCTCTACAATCACCTACCAACTAAAATATACAAGTGGAGGTTAAAACACACTGTCCAATCTTATAAGTCATAACTTATCAAAATTTCATATCTTTGACTTCCAAATGACATTTTAACAATGAATGCACTTAAACATAATACTACAAAGTATAATCTTGCCATTGGATTAAGATTTAAACCTCAATTCCGCTTAAGACAGCAACACTAAATTGAATAAAAATCGAAACCAATAAAAGTTAACCAATCTCCTAAAATCATTTAAAGAGTGAGTACATTACTTAGGTTGATTTGTGTCAAAACTTTCAGACAAGAATAGATAATAAGCAATGGGGTCGATAATAATTCTCAAATCCGAATGAATTTTAGAACAAAAACATGTAAAATCAAGTGAGTAGGCGATCGATTTGTTACCTAGACTGGAGAAAAATCACAAAATTACGACACAAAGCAATAGAAGTGGGAAAATATGGACGATCTCGGCAGTGCAAAGCTTTGTCGATTCTTTTCTAGGGCTTCGGGCAAAGAATGGGAAAAGACTGAAAGAGAGGAAAATATCCGTGGTTAGTTAGTGGAAATTGGGCAATTAGGCTTGTGCAACTGGACTTAGGCAAATAGAGGCTTGGGTAATTACTGAATTACAGATTTCAATTTAAAAAGGCTTTGGCAACATAAAGGGAAAATTACATAAAATCAGGGGTTTAATTTGGAGGAAATTACATGGAGGCAGGTTTTTAAAGTTTGAAATTCAAAAATCAGGGACTAAGTTTCATTCTTCAAAAATTGGGTGATATATAAAAACTCTTAACCCTAATTTTTCACTCTACCCCCTCTCCTTTCTCTCTCTCTCTCTCGCTCTCGCCTAGCCTCGCCTCTCTTCTCTCTTTTGTCTCATCTCTGCCCTCCCCATCCCCATCCCCATCCCCATGCCCATCCCTCTGCTGCGACGTGAATTCGCGAGTTGCAACTCGAAATAATTTGTGACGTACAAATATTACCAAACATTTGGTCATAGATTACCAAACATTTGGTCAAATACTACCGTCGCTTGGTCATAGGTCACAGATCGACCAACACAAATTAACCAGCTACAGAACACACAACAGGACGAAAACTGAACCCCAACAACAACAGATCCGCCACCACCAACAACCAACCACCAACACTATATCCGCCACCAACGACCGGAAACAAACAGCCAACCACCAACTTGCCACCCCACAGATCCGTCAACATCAAACAACAGCCAATCCGCGAGGCGAGGCAAGAGAAAGAGAGATGGGAGGGGGTAGAGTGAAAAATTAGAGTTAAGAGGTTTTATATATCACATGATTTTGAAGAATGAAACTTAGTCCCTGATTTTTAAATTTGAAACTTTAAACACCTGCCTCCATGTAATTTCCTCCAAATTAAACCCCTGATTTTATGTAATTTTCCCTCTATGTTGCCCAAGCCATTTTAAATTGAAATATGTAATTCAGTAATTGCCCAAGCTTCTATGTTGCCTAAGCCCAGTTGCACAAGCCCAATTTCCTCTAACTAACCACAGATATTTTTCTCTCTCTCAGTCTTTTCCCATTCTTTGCCCAAAGCCCTAGAGAAGAATCGACAAAGCTCTGCACTGTCGAGATCGTCCATATTTTCCCACTTCTATTGCTTCGTGTCGTAATTTTGTGGTTTTTCTCCAGTCTAGGTAACAGATTGATCGTCTACTCACTTGATTTTACATGTTTTTGTTCTAAAATTCATTCGGATTTGAGAATTATTATCCGACCCCATTGCTTGTTATCTATTCTTGTCTAAAAGTGATGATACGGATCAACTTAAGCAATGTACACACTCTTTAAATGATTTTAGGAGATTGGTTTACTTTTATTGGTTTCAATTTTTATTCCATTTAGTGTTGCTGTCTTAAGAGGAATTGAGTCTTAAATCTTAATCCAATGGCAAGATTATACTTTGTAGTATTATGTATAAGTGCATTAATTGTTAAAATGTCGTTTGGAAGTCAAAGATATGAAATTTTGATAAGTTATGACTTATAAGATTGGACAGTGTGTTTTAACCTCCACTTGTATATTTTAGTTGGTAGGTGCTTGTAGAGATATATGTTGCTTATACATATATGATTTTAAAGAAAATCATATAAATCATTCAATATTCAAAAACGTGTTTTCATTGTCAAGTGTGTAAAACTACATATTAAAAATTCATATTACAAGATTTATCGTTCTATTAGTACAAAGAAAACTAGCCTATCATGTTATGAAGAATTAAACAAAAGAAATATTAATGAATGGACATCACACAAATAAATCTTGAATTGAATGTTAGAGTCTTTGAATCGATCTTCATGTTTCTTGCCTCATTTTATGCTCCAAAATCATTTAGAATGTGTTGTAATGCGTGGTAACCACTTCTGGACAGCCCTAGGCTTTTAAAAGACTTCCTAAGAACTAAGATTTGTTTCCATAAGAATTAGAATCATATAAGGAAATTATAATTTTTCCCCTGAAAATGTACTATGCTATAGCATAGTACAACTTCATGCTATAGCATAGTACAATGAAACTCAGTCCTAGAATTCCCTCAAACCGACCATGCGACCGCATGGTATAACACTATGTGACCACATAGTGTAGATGAAAATCCAAAAGTTTCGGTTTAGTCCCCGAACTTCATTTTCTTGTTCGTTGACCTCTTTTCTCGCTTCTTCTTCCAACACTTCATTCTTTCGCTCAATTGGTTTTTGACTCTTTCACACCTTCGACCAAATACTCTATATAATGTCTTGAGTAGATTATTTATTTCGCTCTATTGACATGCTACCAAATTGTAAACCAATATTGCTGTATTGGTGATTTCTATTTTTGCTTTTTAGCTTTTCACATTTTTGAAGTACAAGTCTTTAAGATTTTAATAATCATCTGTTCGACAAATAAAAATGAAATAGGACTCCAAGAATTATCAGTTTGACCAAACGTGAAAATATAGTGGGCAAAGAGGAAATTCTCATAACTTCTAAATATCAATGTTTGAAAAGGCTAAATCACGCACTGCGGCATTCTACCTTTGTGAGATGAAGCGTAAGCCTCAAGAAAAACCAATCATATAATTAATAGGAAAACATACAAAAATAGGCTGATAATATACCGTCTTGAAATAAAAAAATAAATTAAAAGACTAGTTTGCAAAAAAAAAATTTAAAATATATCAATAAAATAGCGAATAGTAGGTTTTCAAATTGGTAATCACATAGTAAAACCTTAATCTTCTACCAAAAGTAGAAATAAACTAAAAGTCTCTCATTTCATCGCTAGTAATGGGATTTTTAAGAAATCACTTACATAGTTGATTATCCTACCAGGCTACCACTCTAGTCATCACTCGCCGTAGCTTTTCAGTCATCATTGTCATCATCCTCCACTAGCAATTACTGCCTTCGCCTTTCCCATTTCTTCTCGTTTCACGTGGAGGTAGAAAAAGCAAAATAAAAAGCATGTAAAATGAACCTTGAGTGGTTGTTCAATTGGTCAGGCCTTGAGTTTGTTCCCAAATGGTCACCAGTTCGAATCCCCTCAAGGTCATTGAGGCGAGTATCCGGCCGTAAACTTCAGGGCTCCGTGGAAGTAGTCGAGGTGCGCGTAAGCTGGTCCGAACATCCACGATTATCAAAAAAAAAAAAAGCATGCAAAATGATCTAAACTAAAATGATTTCCCAAAAAGCCAAGACCAGCAATAAAAGGCCTAGAAAAAACAAGACAAGACCAACAAATTTTCAACATCCCTGAGGAATAAGCCTTGACAAATGACACTCAAGGCATGAGGAGGCGCGCCTCAACACGTAAGCCTCAAATATTTCTTTAATACAGTGTTGAATATTAGGTACTACATTTCTACTTAAGCCATCAAGCTGAGAAATCAGTTCTTGAAGTAATACTTGTTGGTTGACGGAGAAATGTCACATTTTATATTCAAGTGAGTTTTTGTCTCGAACTATGACCAGTAGAAATTTTCATATTTAAAATTAAGATAGACCTATGGATGGATCATGTTTCACTGTTTTGGCTGCCTCGAAGAAAAATGAACTGAATTCTCATGACACGGCAGCAATTTATGTTTGGCAATTCATTTATTTCACATGTAACCTCCTCTAATATCTTTAGTATTGTTTGAGAGATAATCCTTTCATGCCTGGCTCTGCAACTACTTGAGTCTCCGTATTTTGATAACTAAACCTATTTTCCTGGAATGGTGAAAAATTACTCAGAACAGAGAAAAAATGGAAGGAATAAATATTGAGGAAAGAAGAATAAATAGAATGCAAGAATCTACAGATTCTTCCCTTAATTATTTATCCATCTGTCAAAAATTCTCACTCTAAAGTCTATAACCTGCCGGCTTCTCTTCTTTTGGAAGGATTGGATCAAACCTATTGGAGGACCTTGGAACTCAACATTGAGTGAAGGTCTTATGCAAGAAGTTTTACAAATGGGTGGATAAGGCCTCTTGGAATTTCTTTTAGTATGTTTCCATTTGGACTCTCGACTTAGTTTGCCAGACAGTTTAAGATCGGGAGCTTTGATAGCTGCCTAAAATAGGTTCACGTGGCGGCTAGCATGCTTCAAATCTGGGGAACAGCCTAATGGTAACCTCCAGCCAAAAGATGCTGAAGTGAGAAGCTATGCTCTAGCCTAAATAAAATCTGCTTGACAAGTGAACAACAGAAGTCCGCAGGGCATATTCAACAGATCTTTTACTTTTTATGCTTGAACTTTTTGGTTTTGGACTATAGATTGAAGGCTGGGGATAAATTTCTGATTTGTGGTATCTGGTAGACGGTGTGTTGATCTGCTTAGTAAGGAGAGATTGGCCTGGTTATCAATCCTGGTAACTTTATACTGGAGACATTCAAATAATGGGACTTAGAAGCATGCCTGTTTGCATAGATATTGTATAGAGTGAAATGACGTTGCTTGTTTTACTACTTGAACTCTGTGAACCACAACTATTTAGACTCCAAGTTTCCACATCTGACAATGCGTCTAAAGTTAATGCTAAAGGCCTTAGCTGTTTACCTCATTGTGGCACTGGAAACTTATTACCAACATAGTACACATCAACAGTCAGCTTACTCTATATTTTAATGCACACATCTCACTCATATTCCAGTTATTGACTACTGTTAGTGAGAGCAATTTTATTCTTGTCATGTTGGTTAAAAAATACCTCCAACCACATCCTTCCAGAACCATGCTAGACTACTGAGAAATATTTTGCATTTTAAGGGCATTGAGAAAAGAAAATTTAACTTAGAAAACATTCAAACTCTATATAAGTAAATATTATCCTGCGAAGAATTACCTACTGGAGCAGTTGGACTAGAAGTATTCTAATAATCATCGCTCGTAAATTGTTGAAATGACACATTAAGCACTAGAAATGAACCTGCATTTGCAGCCGGTCCCGTTGCCTCGTAGAAAGGAGGAAGAAAAGCTTAGAGATTTTAGATCAGGAAGGACACAGAAAATCAAGGTATCCTTACCAGATTTAGGTTTGCAGTCCCATGAAATATCATGCATCACGGTGCTCTGAGATTGGAGGAGCACGTGCTCTGAGATTGGAGAAGCCTACATATCAATTTGAGAGAGAGAGAGATATATGACCAATAACACCATGATCATTTAGCAGGAAAAGAGTGGGAAATGATATTTGGATCCAACATGAAATGAGGACGGTTTTGGACACTTCTATTGTTACTTTCTTTGGTCTCCCTAAAAGGATGCTCTTGAAGAATGTATCGTATAAGCATTTGCATGCCATTAAAACAATGTAGCATATTCTTAACCCCAGTCCCAGATGTATCCAGTTTAAATTTTTGCGTAGGAAATTGGTTTATTATATATAAATAATAGTCTGGAAGTATCTATCAAAAAAAAAAATAGTAGTCTGGAAGTGTATAACAGTTAAGTTCATTACAAATTCTGTGTTATTCAGCTTTATCTGACCAAGTTTCAGCTGATTTTTTAGGCTGCTTGCTTAGATAAATACAAGTCAACATGAACGGAAATTTTTGTCTATTAGTTCAGATCACTTAGATGTGATGATCAAAGTTCTCCTATGACATAATTATATGCCAATGATGTTATTTGACTCATAAAATTTATATCTGTTCAATGTAGAGCAGAGATGGTTATTCCTCCACCAGTGAAGCCCGAAAGATTGACGAAATTTCTCAAACCTTATGTCCTGAAAATGCACTTCACAAATAAGTACGTGAGTGCTCAAGTAATCCACACGCCAACTGCAACGGTGGCCTCTGCTGCAAGCACTCAAGAGAAGGCCCTGAGGTTGAGCATGGAGAAGGCAAAAGAAAATACCCGTGATGTTGCAGCTGCTGCAAAAATTGGCAAGATACTTGGGGAGCGACTAATGCTTCAGAGCATACCTGCGGTTTCAGTTGCATTGAAGAGAGAACAAAAGTATCACGGTAAGGTGAAGGCAGTGATTGATTCTTTAAGGGAGGCAGGGGTCAATTTTTTATGAAAACGTCGAGTTTGCATTTCTAGCTGCTTCCAGATTGTCGATGTCTTAGCTTTGCAGTTTGTCTTTTTGGTATTTTAAAGGAACAACTTCAATTGTTGATTTATATATAGAGAAATAAGCTGTACTCGATAAATGGAATCACAAGGATTCTTCTCCAGTTTGGAAGTGTTATTTGGAAACAGTACATATGTCTGAGGCTTAGTTTCTCATCAACTTTATCAAACAGTTGTATTTTCTGATGAATGCTTGGTACATTGAATTGGATTGCTATCATTGAGTAGCAGGACAACCAAAAATTTGAAGTTTTCAAATTCTGAACTTTTTGAGTTGTAATACAGTATAAACTTGAATTTATTAGAGTTTGCGACTCTTCAAAAAGTTCCAATACAAAATTATATATAGAGAAATAATTGTTGAAGTTTATGTCATCTTGTCCTCTTCTCATATTTGATTGCGAAAGTGTTCTTTTATTTTTTTTGTGTGAAATTAATTTTTTAACTTTGTGAAAAAATGACTTGTATAACATGTTTGAAAACAAAAATATACTTGATAAGCTTGATTACTTATGCTTGGCCAAACATAAAAGAGTTGAATGTTTTAATAATCACCCAACTTATATCATATTCACGATTTGCTCGCTAAACTTCACAGTGTTTCAAAATGTTCACGGAATATTTTTCACTTGCACTTCATTCATCAACCTAAAAGATTCATTATATTATTTGCTCATGTTGCTAATGAAAATTTTTACATGATAAATTATGATATTTAAAAAATTACAACTCAACCAAACTAATGTTTCATTACTCATCCAATTTATACTTGGTCACAATTTACTCATTATACTTAAAAATGATTCCCAACATATTTGAAATATTGCACTTCATCCATCATTTGTCAAATTCATTTCCCTTCGTTGCGAATGGATCGCATGGAATCTCACGAGAAAGTTACGGTCGTTAAAAAAATTATAACTCAATCAAACTATCAACTTGCCAAAATCATCATATGTGAAACGAAACTTCCATGGCCCCAATACCTTTTTAAGCCCCAATAAAGAGTCCGCCAATTCACTCATCTCATCCAGTTACAGTTAAGTTGTTAATAAGACAAAGTTAATTGTTGAGAAAGATACGTCTTTGATTATGAATATTTTGGGATTCCCAAATTGTACATTTGCTCGACATCTTTCTAATCCTAATCTTCTATTTTTACAGGTGTGTGTCCAACTATTCGAGGAAAGAAATGTCATTGAACTCCAATGGCTAGTATACAGCTAGAATACCTTCTGATTTGTGTATGTGTTTATTGTATCAATTTGGCCGAAGGCTAGTGTACATCTGGAATACCTTCTGATTTGCATATGTGTTTATTGTTCTTCGTTCATCGATTTGGCCAAAGTTGGATGACATATCCTTCTGATTTGCATATGTGTTTATTGTTCTTCGTTCATCAATTTGGCCAAAGTTGGATGACATATCATTCCTCAAATAATTGGACACATGCCTGTAAAAAGGGAAGAGGAGAGGCGCCAAACAAATGGTACAATTTGAAGGACATGACTTTATAAGTAGTAGCTTTTCACATCCTTCTTAACAATCAGTTGTGTCTCATTACACAATTTATCTGTACGTGGGGAGATGATTGAATTGGCAGCTGGGATTTTTTAGGCTAAAAATGGGGTCGCGTTATTGGGATTTAAAGAAGTTTATGGGGCCAAGCAAGTTGCATTGCACTTATGGTGATTTTAGTGAGTTGATTGTTTGGCTGAATTGTAAATTTTTAATGATCTAACTTGCCACATGAGATTTTCGTACAATATGTAAGAAACAAAGGGAATGAAATTTAATGAATGATGGATGGAGTCCAACGTCTCAAAGATAAGCGACCATTTAAAAGTATTTTGAAGTTTGATGAGTAAACCATGAAGTATTTGGTTTTTGCTGAATTGTAATTTTTTCTTAACGTTTGTAACTTATCACGTGAAATTTTCGATGGCCATGTTAGCGAATAAGGTAGTGGATTTTTGGTGATGATAGTTGAAGTACAAACAGGTAAAGTTCAATGAACATTATGAAATACTTTGTGATAAAGTTCGAACAGCAAGATAAGAGGAAGAGCTGAGAGGAGAGGAGAGGAGAGGAGAAGATGAGAGAAATTTACTTTATTGAAGAAGCTTTGTTTTCTTCCTTGATTTATATCAGGTAGTAGCCATATTTATACAACAAATATCCGGCTGAAGCTAACAAATCAAGCTAACTAATTAACAGAAAATAACTAATTTGAACAGTTACTAAAAAATTAACCTAGCAACCTTACACGGCTGATGGCGGGGGCGCCCCCTATTCGACCGACTATCAAGGCGGTAGGGTTGGCGACCTATGCCTTGATGGTACAGGCTCCTCCCCAAACTATCCCGGAGATGAAGATCGAAATGAGACAGCCGAATGAAAACGAAGGAGCCCTATGGTTTCACTTCTCCAAATCTGAACTGGAGTAGGCGGCTTCACCTTTCCGATACTCTGTCGTACTGAAATTTCTGAGAAGGAGACCTTCTCTGGATCTGATACGGAATTACCTCAAGTCACGATGGGGTATTAAAGGTTTCTATTCAGTTAGTAACATGCAACGGCCACGAAACGTTTTCATCCGTTTCACATCAGAAGAAGATTTTGCTATGGCGTGTGCTAGAGAATCCTCAGATCTTGATGGCATACCCTACAGGCTGGTTATTTGGTCCCCAGATTTCGATGAAGATAAAGACTCCTCACTGGTCCCTGTGTGGGTATTTCTTCCCGGACTACCCCCCCACTTCTACCACGAATCCATGCTGCGTATTATCACCGGGGCCTTTGGTCGATTTTTGAAGAGGGATAACTTTACGGCCTGTGCGTCCCGTACGGATGGGGCTCGTGTCTGTGTAGAGGTTGATGTTTCTAAACCTCTGGTGGATTCGTTCTGGTTGGGCGTCCCTTTCCATTCATCGAGCCGACATCAGGAAGTTATCTACGAAAAACTCCCACTCTTCTGTCACTACTGTAGAGCTATGGGTCACTTGGAGACGGCTTGTAACAAGAAGAAACAGATGGGGGAACTCAATATCCCAGAACTTAGTCGCCCTAAAAAGGTCTGGAGAAAAAATGATAATTTAGATAGTGTTAGAGAATCGACACAGAATAAAGAACCCCTTCCAGTGAAGCTGCTCGACAGACTAACGGAAAAACGTAACAGGCTTTTGCAGCGAGACGTCTTGATCCCATCGGCCTCAATTCTATTTGGTCGCAATGATGGTAGAGTTGCTAGCACCCTTGATGAATTAGAAGAGCACGTTCCAGTGGAGGAAATTGATAAGGTATCGAACAAAAATCTAGAGGAAAACGGAATGGACACCCGTATATGTAATGAGATCTGCAACGTGATTAATAGCAACATGGATAATAGTGTCGTAGTGGAGATAAATTCTAGTTCGAAGGCTACTACTTTGGAGCAGGCTATTGTGAGAGGGGATGTTGACGCCGTCCAAGAACTGTTAGTCATGGATATTATGGACAACATTGCGGACCTAGTAGTCAGAGGAGAACCTTTACCCCACGCTTCACCATACTTAGTTAATTTACATAACGGGGATACTTCAGTGGAGATTCATAATTTTTCTGATGGTGAGTTTGAAAATGATCTACCTGAATTGGATGTCTTAAATTATGATACAGACCATATCACTTCACTCACCGTTAAAAGAGGAAGGGGAAGGGGTCGTAAAAAGGCGACTTTAGGTATCACCACCAGATCCAAAAAATCATATTAGTGATGAATATTATTATATGGAACGCAAAGGGTGTCGTGACCTCCAAAGGCAGACTTATGGGTCTAAAGAAATAATATAACCCCTCTATTTTAGTTATCATGGAACCTTTTGTTTCTGTTGAGAAAATTGTCGTTTGGGCTCGACGTTTAAGTTTCCCACACTATGCATCTAACGTTGGGACAGGAGGTAAAATCTGGATTTTCTGGAACAATGAAGTGTCTTTTGAAGTTAGTAGTTTATCGGATCAAGAGATTTCTGGAGGGGTCTCGTTTGGTAGTGTTCGGGTAGTTTACTCTTTTATATATGCCAACTGTTTTCAAAGACGAAGAAGGGAATTATGGGAGAAATTGACAAGCTTAGATGATGGAAATATTGGATGGCTCATAGGAGGAGATTTTAATATTGTCCGTTCTAATGGGGAAAAATTAGGCGGTCTGCCCACATCTTCTATGGCCATGCAGGAGTTTAACCACTTTATTCACGACTCGGGTTTGATGGATATCCCTTTCGATGGCCCGAAACTATCATGGTGCAATGGCCAACAGGGTACAAGACGTATATGGGCTCGCCTTGACCGCATCTTGGTAAATCAAAATTTTAGGAATTTATTTCCTTCTGTTGCATTATCTTATTTGGAGCGCACATCATCGGATCACTGCCCGATGGTTCTACAATGTAGAGATAAGTCAAGTGTGACATGCCCCAGACCGTTTAGGTATCTTGGTATGTGGTCTTCTCATGAGGGTTTTCTCCCCCTGGTGAAACAAATTTGGGATATACACGTGCCTGGTTCTCCAATGGTGTGTCTCACACGCAAATTGCGGACCTTAAAAATAGCTTTAAAATCTTGGAATGCTGAGGTGTTTGGAAGGGTGCAACAGGAAATATGCATGATTGAAAATAAACTGATTCAACAGGAACAATCTTTGATGGAAAATTTTTCACTGGAAACTGAAAATCAACTTTTGCAATGCCGAAATCAATATGTAGTTTGGCTCGAAAGAGATGAAGCTCTTTGGAGACAAAAGTCCCGCATTAAATGGCGTAAAGAGGGTGACGGCAACACAAAATTTTTTCATGCTTCGGTCAAAAATAAAACTAAGAGGCCGATTATTGAGCACATGATCCTTGAAGATGGTAGAGAGCTAAACTCACTGGACGAAATTCATGAGGGCAGTTTTTTCAAAATCTTTTC